CACCCTTATTCTTTGTCCATTATACCCACCCCATCGTCCTCCGTCACTCGCCAACCAGTGTCATATGTCCCCCCTTTGTTGGTTCCAAGGTGTTGGCTAATCTTTTGACAAAATAGAATATCATATTTGTTAGATGTACTAGTAGGTAGAAACCTCTATTTGTTAGGAGAGGTTTATTAAATTTAGACTTCTAGAGCTGCTGCAGTTTTCGAGGTTGACACAGAAAATGCTACAGCACGGTGCTGCAACACAGTGTGCGGGATCAGAGATCTGAGCACGGGATTTTAAACTGCAATCTGAATTAGAGACCTATTGGGATTGTGATTACATGATAATAACTCTAGCTGTACATGCTAAGGAATCCCAACTCTTTAGGATACTTGTGGATCAAGATTAAGGAAGTAGAGTTCAAGCCAACTTCTACTATCCTATTCCTACTAAGATTGTGTTAAGAGATGCCTATAAAAACGCAGTAGGTCCCTGAGAATTATTTGAAGCGATTGAGAAGGAAAATACAGAATATATGCTGATGTAGAGCATTCCCGTCGTGTCCCGGAGCTTCTCTTGCGTGAAGAAGGTTGCGATCTACATGAAGGAGAAGATCTTCAACGCCAAAACAGATCGTGACATCCAGGAGATGAATCAGAGCTGGACGAGAGGGCTGCCAACACGTTTATCCTCGTGATCTCGGTGGAGATGTGATAGCCGAAGCGGATTTGAACAGAGTTCAGGTTAGAAATCCTAGATTAGAAGTTTTGTCATAGCAATTCGGAGAAGGGTGTCTCATCATGTTGTTATGTACTGGTGTAACTTGCATCTAGTGATTTAGTGGAGGGCTATTACACGGACGTGAGCCCCGCAGATTAGGAGAAATTGCTCCGAACTGCGTAAACATATCTGGTGTTATTTTTTACGCTTTTTACTGTTACAGCATTCTGCCCAGTAGGCGCTGTAACGCTCTCTGCTTCATCTGCTTCTGTGTACGTGCTTGTGACAGAGAAGTGTTATAGCACACTGTCCGTCATCTGTTACTGTGACAGTGCTGCAGTACCTTCTCTGCAGCATAGCTGGTTGATTTGTTTGCATAGCTCTTAATTAGTGATTTCCGCTGCGCACCCACGAACTTACACCCTTATCCCTTCTATCCCGCCCCAACACTCCGACCCTACGTCTCCCACCCCATGTTGCTAAAATATACGGAGTATCTTTCAAATATATTTTTAAATACTCCGTATCATTCTTCACATCTTAACAATTAAAAATGTTTTTGTTAGAAAAATAATTTCATTCCTACCAAACATTGAAAAAATGTGTGTGTGTGTGGGGGGGGGGAGGAATTATTTTCCTGGAAAGTATTATTATAGGAAAATATTTCTCCCCAACCAAACACACCATATTAAAGTGTAGATAAAAATTGTGTGGTTGAATGAATGTTGGGCTGGGTACAACTTGGGATATAAGAAGTGAAATTTGCACTAAATAGGACTAAAACATAATGACTTTCCCAATCTAAGACTTAAACTTTTTTATTCCCTAAATAGGACTTAATAATGTCTTCGTGGAAGGAATAATGCCCAGCAATGATAGACATTACTTGAATAATGACTAAAGAATAATGACCAAAGGTCCTACATTCGGAAATAAAAACATATGGTGCTATTTTGAGAAAGTCATCATGTTTTAGTCCTATTTAGGTAAATTACTCTATAAGAAATGTTGGGGGAAAGATGAGGAGGTGTACAAATTGGAGTACAAAATGGTGTACCCCAAGAATTCTATTTCTATCACATAGAACGATACCGTACGTGTATCGATGCATGCTTGAACGTGTAAGCAGAATACCTGTGAATAATCATAAATTAGAAACATACATGATACATCCATGCCCATCCAAAAAAGAAAGAATTGGAAGATGTTACGTACGTTTTACATACGAACATAGATGAAGGTGCCTTTTTTGTTCCAGCACGTACTTTGGGCTCCAATAGCAGCTCGTGAAATTGAAGATCAAAATCAAATGTGGAAAGACCGCATACACAACAATAAGATAAGAAAAAACAAAGTGACAAATGGTGCTGAGAAGAAGCATTGAAAGTTAGCAAGATCGAGTAGTACGTAGACCTGCTGTAACCACGCACATTGTTAATGTTTTCGTGCGTGGCGTCTCTCGACAAGCATATCAATAGTGTCCCATAAATTAAAAACGTACAACGACAACAATGGCAAGTAGCAAGAAGCAACAAATAAAATATGAATCAGAATCACAAAGCAATCGAGGGCCGGGGATGAAGTAGATGCATGCATGTGTTCATTGGCTGGCTGGCTGGGTTGCATGGGGGTTCACCAACAAATAGGTGCTAATTGGCGTTCACTTCTCAGCTGCTTGCTAGCTGCTATATTTGTTGCCATGGTCATGCATGCCATTGTGTCTTCTTTGCTCACTTCTGCACCTATAAAATATCAACCAACCAAAATTAATGTCGTCCAAAATAATTACTCCCTCTATCCCAGATTATTTGTCTATTTTCATTTTTACACATCATCTAATACACTTCTTTAATCCATTTTATCTTGTAACTTGTATATTAAAAAATTATAGAAATTATATATTAATAATCTCAAATCAAAGAAGATCACACATGACTATATTTAGGCTTACGAGAATTTGATGAGTCAAAGTGCTTAGATGTGTTGAGTGTTACTTCAAAGTCCCACATCGGTGGGATAGGAAAATTGAGGAGGGATTGGAGCCTATAAATAAAAAGGAGATATAGGCTTCCATCACACAACACAATCCTTCAATCTATATAATTGTGTATTAGATTTTAGGTTGTGAGTGTCAAATATTGGAGAGGGTTTGTAATTTTTCCGTGCAAAAATTACTAGTGAGATTTTATCCCAGAGGGGGTCGTGGAGTAGGTCTTGAGGTGCCGAACCACGTTAAAAATTGTGTGCTCTTTTTTTTTCTTTTTCTTTCATTTGTTTGGAGTGGGGACCTAACAAGTGGTATCGGAGCCAAGGTGCAGAGCTCGGGTGATCGGGTAATTATAATTCTTAATATGCTCTGTGG